GCGGGGTGTGTTGTTGATGGGGGGCCGGGGGGGGGTTGATCTGGGTGGGGGGGTGGGTTGTCCACCCCCCCCAATTGCACTTCCACGCTCTTCCCCCCCCCCCCCCCCCCCCCCCCCCCCCCCCGCTTCAGGACTTTTCAGCTCTCCACTGAAGCTGGAAGCAGATCTTCTCCTACCAGCAAATATCCGTTCAGTACAAATACCTTACCTGTTACTGTGCTGGGGCCTCATTTGGTTCTTTTTTAGCAAAAGTGGAAACCTTTGCTTTGTCCTGGCTAATTGGGAGTTAATTTGCTTTGTCTCAGTTGAAGATTTTTGTTTGGTTTTGTCTGAATCTTGGGGATGATGGCGTCAGTGCTTCTGAAGACCTAAAATTTCCACTCACCATTCAGCAGAGAGAAGAACCTGACTGAAGCTCATTGAAATAACTACTAAGAGTATCTGAGTTTCAGGACGATTAGAACAGTTTTTTTCTATTTTAAGTTTTGTTAAGTGTGTTTCCCCCTGCTCATTTCTTATTCTGACTCTTCACTGAAGAGGAACTGTAATGATGGTCCACGAACAAGGACAGAATATTAGGGCAGCTCACATCCCAGCAAGCCACCTGTCTTGGAGGTGAAGAGAGAAGAACAAGGGTGCATCCACATGTGTCCTGGCTTGTAGACCTAGGATGAACTGCCTAAAGCAACAGCTAACAAGAAATGGTTGGCTTGAAAGGCAGTGGGGAGTTTCAGGGTTTGCTCTCCTCTAGGAGAAGACCAAAGAGGGGTGGATTCCTTCCTCAGCACAGATGATCAAAGCTGTGTGAAACACAAAGTCAAAACTGTGATTGGGGGCAGCTATCATTATGAAGTATAAAACTGATACTTGTACTACTTTAGAAAAAAAAAAAAAACGTTTAGAATTAATGTTCTCTTGAACTAAAATGGAAAAAAGAAATATTGGGAATAATAAAACTGAAAGGGAAAGATTAATTGTGTGATATTAAGTGATTTAGAGTACATACATTTTAGTTAATGAATAACACTTTGATTAGGTAATATCTATATAAAGTACGAAGAATTTTCAACTACCAACAAATATACTGTTAAGATGAATTTTCCTTCCCACTCCTATTCTCTGGTTCTCTGGGTTTTTCCATTCAGGAGGCAATGAAATATATATTGTCAAATTTTGTTCAAAGATTTTTTTAAAAATACATTTTTAAAGTTTATTTAGTAATCTCTACCCCCAATGCGGAGCTCAAACTCACGAACCCGAAATCAAGAGTCATATGCTCTTCTGACTGAGCTAGCCAGGTGCCCTGTATTCAAAGATTTTTAAATGTTTTGAGTTGATCAATTATTTTACATTTAATTTTCTTTTCAGAGAGGGGTACATTATGGATTGCCTTATGACAATAAGTACATAAGATTGCCTTATGACAATAAGTACATAAGATTGCCTTATGACAAATTTCCTGGTCACTTAGCCTCTACTTTACTTGACAATTGCCAAAAAACAACCTTTCCTCTGCATTAGCACTGAAGAACCAATATTTCCTCTGAAATAGAATTTTCCAGATCTTGGGATGAACATATAGGTAGAATCTGGGATATCTTTTGCTGTTAGATACAGCTTGACAAAGGGATTTTTAATAAAATATATTAGAGGATGCCACAAGATCAGCCTTAAAAAAATGAGAGTGGGGGTCGTCAGGTGGCAGCCATGGCGGGTCAAGAGGATCCGGTGCAGCGGGAGATTCACCAGGACTGGGCGAACCGAGAATACATTGAGGTCATCACCAGCAGCATCAAGAAAATCACGGACTTTCTCAACTCGTTCGATATGTCTTGTCGTTCAAGACTTGCAACACTAAACGAGAAATTGACAGCCCTCGAACGGAGAATAGAGTACATTGAAGCGCGGGTGACAAAAGGTGAGACCCTCACCTAGAGCTACGCCATGCTGCTGCTGGGAAGTTGCTTCATGGAACACAGGCCGACGTGGGAAAGGCCCCAGCAGCCTCAGCTCCTTCCTCTCTCCTTAAAGAGCAACAGGGCTTATTCTTGTTTTTGGTTTTTATTTTATTTTTTTTTTCGAAAGCGTGGCCTTTGGGTTCTGCCATGTACATCGGTGTGTGATGTGGCATGTGGGAAGACATCCAGGGAAGCTCTTGGAATCAACATTAGGCATTTTATCTTTGAAGTAACATTTTGTAGAACTATCCGTCAGTGTATGAGGTGCTCAGAGCCAGACGCCTGGGACTCTTTGTTAAGGTCATCCCCACCTCTCTTTCTCTAAGACTTTCCTTACAGCTCTCATTGCCTCTGCATTGATTCTAGAAACAGTCTTTGTCTCCTTTTTACCTTTGGTGGGGGTTGGGAGGCAGTCTGGCTGAGACACTTATGCCCTGGCAAGGTGGCCGCCAGAGAATGTTGTTGCTAACCCACCAGTTTCTTGTCTTTTTGGGGAGGTAAAGGCCAGGCCCCCACTTGGCTTGAAGGGACATTTTCAGAATTTTCTTTCTGTCACTTGGGGTATCTTTGCCTCTCATATTTCTCTAATAAACTCCTCAACTTAAAAAAAAAAAAAATGAGAGTGGGAATAATAATGGTGACTGTTATTTGTCTAGTATCTACTGTGTGTGGAGTCTTTCAGTGCCTTACTTCTGATTTTGAAGCTGGTAAATTAACAGAAATTCTGAAAGGTAAACATTATCATGCCTGTTTTAAGATTGAGTAACTTACCAAAGCTCTATAGTTGGTAATAGCCAAAATTTAAACTCAGGCATTTCCAGTTCCAGTTTCTCTTTTACCATATTCTCATATTGGTGCATGGTACTTCTTAAAAGGGGATGGCATGTGATACTGCTAAGATCAAAAGAAAGGAGGAAAGAAAAGGGATCAATGTAGGAAAACGTTTAAGGAGAAACCATGACCTTCAAAGAAGGCCAGGTTATTCAAAAAGTCTGGGCTTTTATTTAAAAGAACTATTCCATGATTTATATAACATCACAAACTAATATTTCCCCTTTTACCAGAGTCGTTTCCTCTAGTATTTATGAGGATTATGTTGTCACGGTAGATCTCCTTTGGGAGGAGGACTTTTTTTTTTTTTTTCTCTCTCCTTACTGAATGTTTGTGCTGTTGTATCTGCAATTTCCAGTGTTGGTTCACCTGGACCTGGATACTCTGTAACTAATTCCTGGACAATTAAGCTGAAGGGTAACAATATTAGATGCAAGATCTCCACACTGGCGCTAAGCTTTATGGTTACTGTTGGGGCATCTGTGAGAGAATATTCTAATGGTTTGCCAAGAAAAAGACTATAATAGTTACCCATTGTTGCATTTTAGTTACCCTAAAATGTAATGGTTTAAAGCAGCATTCAATATGGTACAGTTCCTGTGGGTAGGGAATCCAGGTGCCTCTGGTTCAGGGTCTTTCAGAGGTTTGCAGTTGAGGGGTTGGCTGGGGCTGTAGTCCTCTCCAGGCTTGACTGTGGGAAGATCTCCTTGCACACTCATTCATGTGGCTGCTGGTTGGAGACATCAGTTCTCTGCCACACAAGGCTCTTCATAGGGCATCTCACAGCATGGCAGCTGATTCCCTAAGAACAAGCAAGCAAGAGAACGAGAAAGGGTGCTTAACCTAGAATGACAGTTTTTCGTAATTCAGTCTTGGGAATTACATGCCATCCCATGTTGTGTTCTTTTTGGTTCTATTCCTTATAGACAGGTCAATAAATCCACCCTATAGTGAAGGGGAGGGGATGGCACAAGAACAGATTAGCAGTCAGGATACAGGGATCCTTGGAGGCTGTATCCAAGGGTGCCCACGAAAAAGACACTATACTCTCATTGCCTGCTCCTTTAGAACCTGTTTACTACTTTGTTCCTCTTTTTAAACTGTATATTCTATTTTAAAAAGGGGGGGGGCTATGTCTCTTTTGTTTACTAACAAATGTGATGCCTAATATATAGTCAATAAATGTTTAATAAATGAGTAGGCTAAAAGATAAATTTTAGAAGTGGATATGGTTATAATTCTCATACAATTAAGTAAGATTTTTACTTAACTCACTAATTAATGAGAGAACAAGGAAGATATTTTAAACCACTCAAATGAAAATTCAGAGTACCAACTATTTACTGTCAGATAAGGAAAGCCGAGATGAATTTTTTGAATGGGTGCAAACTAGCCAAAAGCAATATTTGCAGGACTATAATTAGTGACATTCACTGGACACAATTTGCATTTCTATGGCTAGAAATTGTTCTGATTACTAATAGTTTTCTATAATTAACTTCTCTCTCTACAGTGTTGTAAAGTAAGATGGTTGAAGGCAAAGGCAGAGATTACCTGTATTGATGAACTACACAGTGTGCTCACTAAGTTTCAAAATCTTCCAGAACTTTTTCTTGCAAATGAATGCTACAGATGGAGAAAATGCCAGGTAAGAGGAGGATAGTCTTAGCTCTTTTCTCTTCAAATTCATATAAGCAGTTAGGATACTTAATTAGGACTTAAAATTCCTTGATTATTAAAGAACATTTTAAACATGTTAGAATATCATAGATGGCTCTGCCCACGTTCACAATGTTATTATTCCTTTATACACAGCTCTTGACCTTGTGGGATGGAGAGTATCTCTGGCAGTAGAGAGCAAAACCAAACTATTTCAGTTCTTTAGGGATTGATGGGGTCCTGTGGTAGATTCTAGGGTCTGCGAGATCCAGGGTTCTGTCAACAAATGCCAAACGTAGGTGGACCAGCTACATAAAATCTTGGTGGGGAGTATGTGACTGTCAGGGGGTTATGTCTTTGTCAAAAATTTTTACTCATGGGCTCTATCCTAAACCTACTAAATGTAAATGTATTAAAGTGAGGCCTAAATAATCTTAAGTACTCCTCATGTCATTCTGTGTGACTGATTTTATTATGCACTAGTCTAGATCACTTCTCATTAAAGTCATTCATGGTTCTGTGGCTCTGACCAAAATGCATCTAAAGAGTTTACGGAGGCTTTGAGTCTACCAGGGATAAATTATAGATGGCTTTCTCTTTGAGTTTTTCCAGGTGAATATGGGAATAAAGATCCTTGAGAATGCATATTATGCTATCAACTTAGCTGTAAAATCATTACAGAAAAAAAAAAAAAAAGAAAATAACAAGAGGTGCCACCACAGATCTCTTGCTATATCCTCAAATCATAAATACGGCTATTATAGAATTAACTAATTTTCATAGCCTCAGTAAAAAACCTTTTGATAGTATCCACCTGTGAAAGTTTCAACAGATATTTGCAGAATATCCTCCTAGGTCCTGCTGGAATAAGAGAACGACAATTACTTACATTTTTTTCTACCATGCAGATATTGCTGAATCATTTCAGTATACTCAAAATGCTACAACTATTTGAAATTCAAATGAACATTTTCCATCTGTAGTCTTCATTAACATTGTAATGGTATGATTTCAGTTGTTTCTGCTGATGAATATTAGTTTTCTTGAGCTTTATACCCACTAGTTTTAATTTTGTAGTCCATAAAGTATAACAGGTAAACTGATTTAGATTATATATATATGTATATATAAACTGTATATATGTATATATATTATATTTACTGTATGTAAATCATAGAGTGAGAACAGACTTTAGAATGATTAATTCCAATATCCTTATCAGAAAGGGGAATGGTTATGGACTGAATTGTGTCCCTGCAAATTCATATGTCGAAGTCTAATTCCCAGTACCTCAGAATGTGACTGTGTTTGCAGACAAAATCTTCAAATAGGTAATTAAATTGAAGTGAAGTCATTAGGGTAATTCCATATGAAATGTGTCCTGATGAGAGGAAGTTGGGACACAGGCATTGTCTTAGTCTGTCTGGGCTGCTATAACAAATTATCATAGACTGGGTGGCTTATAAACAACAGAAATTTATTTCTCATGGTTCTGGAGGCTGGGAAGTCCAAGATCAGTGAACCAGCAGATTTGGTGTCTGGTGAGGATCAGCTTCCTGGTTCACAGACTGCTATCTTTTTGCCATGTCCTCATTGGCGAAAGGGGCAAAGGCTCTCTGTGGTCTCTTGTATAAGGTCACAAATTCCATTCATGAGGGCAATACCCTCATCAACTAATCACCTCCTAATCACCTCCCTAAGTACCCCCAACCTAAACCATCACATTGAGGATTAGGATTTCAACATATGAATTTGGGGGGGACACAAACATTTATGTATAACAGACATGTACAGAGGGAAGATAATGTGAAGACACAGGGAGAAGATGGCCATCTGCAAGGGAAGGAGAAAGGACTCAGAGGTGACTTAACTCTGCAGATGACCTCAGCGTGGGACTTTTATCCTCCAAAACTGTGAGAGAATAAATTGTTCTTGTTTAAGCAACAGCACTTTGTTATTGCAACTGTAACAAAATAACATGGGAACCAAACTGCCCAAGGTTAAAGAACCCGTTAGCTGTAGGACTGAGACTGAAGTGTCCAAGTCTTCTGCCTCTCAGTTTGGTATGTTTTCCTTTTTGTTGTAATGCTATTAATACATGAAAAATTAATTATTAAAAAGCTTTAGTTATGCAAAATCATAGGACCGTAACAGAGTAGTTTAAAGATTGTTGTTGTTCTTCATTAACTTTCAACATTAGATGGTCTTAACAAATGTTGGATATCAGCATGGGATGCACATTAAGTGTAACACACTTAATGCCCTGAAATCCTAGACTAAGGATTGTACCATTTCAAATATACAGAGCCTATTAAAAATGAAAAACTTCGACACTTGCTGTTATAATAATCTCATCTTGGCCTCACTTCTGCTTACCAGTTTCTCAGCTTACTTTCTTACATGCTGTGTGTAGTGTCTGCAGTCCCACAACTTTCTCTCTATGTAATTTGAATCCAGCTTCATGCTACATTGCAGATAGCTTTTTAGCCTGTAGTTCTAGCTGAGAACTTAAGATCTGGTGCTCAGGGGTTTAAACACAATCTTCAGGATTCTTTGACAGAGCAAGAATTTTTCTTGACAACCTTAGAATTTTGTTCTTTCCATACTTCATCCCTAATTTGCCTACCAACTTAAAGTAAGGACCCTAAGGTAATTATTGAATTCAGTTTTATAAAGTCATTAGGATCTTCCTCAATCATGAATAAAAAGCACATGGAGAATGTGTGTTGTTAAAGTAAAGCCACAAGTCCTGCAGCACAAGTGTTAGGTCAAGTGGCCCGATAAAACACAGGATGCCCAGTGCAATGTTTGGGACATACTTAAACTAAAAAATTATTCATTGGTTTACTGAAGTTGGAATTTAATCAAGTGTTCTATATTTTATTCAGTAAACCTGACAACCCTAAATTTTATGTGATTTAATAATAGATTAAATACCAGGATTTCACCTTGTAATGAAGGACCCCAGAACTTTCTCTTCCTAAGCTATGCAGAGAAGGTTGTGTTAAGCACATTTGATGCTTAGTTTCTCAAAACGGAGACCCACTTATTGGAGAAGAAGTGATATAAATAAGGAATAGATTATTAATTAACGTCTTATAAAAACTACCAAA